TAGCCAAGCCCATTCGGAGGCCACGCCCATTTGGTAGCCACACCCACTCGGTGGCCACGCCCCTGGGGTCACCACAACATGGGGAGCTGTATTATGGGGTCACGGCATTAGAAAGGTTGAGAACCACTGGTATAGAAGTAAGCAAACAGGATTATATTAAAACTTTTCATCCAATTCTTTTATCATAACATGGGTGAAAAAGAATCTCATTGCTTTTGAAATGCTGTCCATGGTCTTCAGTCATATGTAGATTCATCGGTTTGAGATATTTCCATTTCCATTTCTAATTAAAACAACTTCAAAAATGCTTCCATGGACTTAAATTTGTTTTTGAATGCGCACGAGTTGAATAGGTTTTTGTAACATTCTTTCATTCCATTTCTTTATCATATTCTTTCCTTTTCCATTGCCAAACAATGGAGTAGCATGCATATCCATAGACTACATTTAATTCTGCTCAAAATAGGGTAGATAAATTCTCTTCCAGTACCGAAGTAACCATGGATGCATTTCACTGAACAGAAATACAAGAAATTACCATTTTTTAAAAAATCTGACTTGTTTTATAGTTAAGAGGCCATGAAATTAGCCTCTGACAGCCTACATTCAGCCATTGCTTCCTTCTGAGTGTTCATGTATCCACTGAAACACTTTGCAGATAAAGACAGACTGAGAGAGAATAGAACACTTGCTGGTAAGAAAGTTAGGAGAGGGATCCGAGGTGGGTTCTTAAAAAAACAACAGATAGAAAGTGAGAGAGAGAAAACGGAAAGAGGACAGTGTGTCCATGCATTATGGATGGTACAAAGAAAAGTGGATCTAGACAGTGTTACGCTATTCAAGATTTCTTATTGGTTTCAATAAAAAGCAGTGTTGGTTGCTGGGCCTGAATTGGACTGACCTGTATTAAAATGTAGGTAGCTTGTTAATTCAAGCAAAAATCTGGAGAACCTTGTTGAAGAGAAGATTTGGATGAGATCTGGGAGAAGATCCACCCTGTAGAGGAGGCACGATCTGTGATTTGTCTATTCAACACAGATGACATCTCAGGGATTCCAGAACATTCTGTCAGCCACTGCTGAAAACAGAGCATATGCCAGTCTCCAAGAGAAACAAGGCTGGCCAGTATATATTTAGCCCTTTCCTTATCTCTAAAGTAGGATGTAAATAGAGAGGAGTGCATTATAAATAGCCCATATGCACAAGCAAATTGAAGCAACATTATAGCTTACAATCATATATGCATTTAAAGAAATCGTAAGTTATGATATCCAGATGTAGAGAGGCAATCAAAAAAGACAAACAATGGCATCATTGGGTGCTAAGGGGGAAAAGGGAAAACAAAAAACACTTTAGAATGCAATTAGCTCGTTATACAGCAAATTCTGCTTGCAGAGCTAGAGGAAACAAAGCTAATGTTATTAGTTTTTATTAATAAAGAAGAAAAAATAACTTCAAAAAAAGCAAAGGAAGCTGATGATTTACCGTGTCATTCATCAAATCCTATGAACCCTCATCACATTCCAGTTAAACAAAACTGGAAATGACTGGAACCGTCATTTTGGTCATTTGCTTCTCTTGTTTAAAAACCAAACTAACTTATATCAGGTTGAAATGTAAAATTATTTTTATTCCTATAGAATAGATAACTATGACTGCAGATGGTATAGAATTCAATATAAAAATGAAAGCTTCATTTATGGCACATTTTAAAAAATTGACATGAAAACTCCTGCAATAACTTGTGGAAGTCGGCAAGTGGCCCGTTAATTTGGTCAAATTCTGATTTTAAAAAATACAGCCATTCATGGATTTCCATGATCATAAATTCAAGGCATGTTGTTTTGAGATATTTGCATTTTGTTTTGAATGAATTCTCTAAATTGGTCGGGCTCTAATTGGGTCCTTTTCTATTATAAGGAGCAAAACCAATTGCGTGGCCAGTGCACCCTCCACATTTTAAAAATGTGCATTATTTTATTAAATTTATATGAATTACCAGGATAATATCACTAGAAATCATCCTTTTCTTTCCCTTCTGCTATTTGTTTTCTCTTGATTGACATTTTATGACATTTGTACAGCTGGTACAGAAGTCTATAACTTATTTTGTATGGATCTGCCCTTGAAGAAGACCTGGAAGCTACAGCTGGCATAGAAGGTAGCAGCTGTCTGCTTGCCCGCCAACACTAATCAGTCCAGCAGAATAATATCTATTTTGGAGAAGCTGCATTGACTGCCAGAAGGCTTCACTTCAAGAAAGGGGTTGCAGTCTCTAAAACCCTTACGACTTGGGCCCTTGTTACCTTTGGAACCATCTTCTCCAGAATCCGTTTTCTCTACATAGTTAGCCAAGAGTGTAGGCTATGGGTGCTCATTCTTAGACAGATCAGGAGATCTGCATAGTTCTACTCTTCTTTGTAAATCTTAAGTACACTTACAAGCCTGGCCAAAATTAAATAAATGGAATTATGTCGAAGAAGCTAGATTCACACTGCATTTTGTAACACTTTATATTTATCTTTTGTGAGGTTTTTTTTTTTTTGCCATATAAATTCTAGGCAAAACAGCTTTATTCACATTTGTTGCAAGTGTTGTATAGAGATGTTACTCTACAGGCTTAAATATTTAAATATTTTCATAACTATCTCATCTATTCTGGATGGCTATCTCATCTATTCTGCTCTATTGCTGGTCGTTCCTCACTTTTGATTGGGGATGGTTCCATAATCTTTCCTCTTTCCTTCATCCTATAATCCTGTTCATAATGGGTTTCTTTACCTCAGGGGTTCTCAACCTTGGCAACTTTAAGACATGTGGACTTCAACTCCCAGAATTCCTCAGCCAGCAAAGCTGGCTGAGGAATTCTGGGAGTTGAAGTCCACAAGTCTTAAAGTTGCCAAGGTTGAGAACCCCTGCTTTACATCTTCTTTCAAAATAATTTGCCTCTATTAGATCTCTTCCATAATTACTCTTTTAAGTATTCCTTGCATAGATGTTAAATTTTCCTATGAGTCTTCTGATCTTCTTAAAAAGATCTCTCTCTTTTTCTATCGTTGCATTCCTCTGCACGTTAACATTCTTGCTGAAGACGTCGTAGCCTTTGTTGCTTGATAGTGGGAGTTTGTGGTCAGTCACTGTCCAGGGCCTTCATCCCTTTGTTTTTCCCTCACTGTCATCTTTGTTCTTCCAATCACTAAAATGTTTCTCCTGTTTAAAATGTGGGTTTGGTTTTTGCTTTAGTACGTATAGTATCTCTTATCTTTTCCCATAGCTTTTCGGTTGCTTTTTCACATATGTTACCCATATGGACTTGTTTCTAACACTGATCTTATATTCTGACTCCGTATTTTCTAGGTCATACATTAATGGCACATCTGCTATCTGTAATTCTCTAAGTTTAACCTACGTACTCAACATCAATAATTAATGGTTTGTCAATAATCTGCCCCCAAAGTATATGGCTGACTGGATTGTAGCTTCATCTTTTTTATCCTATTATGCAATTGATTTGGTTCCACTGTTGTCAATTCAGTGAAGTCTGCATGTAGAGGCCGTGCTTATATTCCTCAAAGCAATATAAGCATTACTGACAAAAAGCAAAAAAAAAACAAAAAACCGCAATTAATCCATCTCCTACGTGTTGTGTTTTATATAATTGCAAACAAAAATTATACTGCACACAGGATTTTTTAATAGTTTCCTCTATTGCCTCTGCATTACTGTAAATAAATACATTTACTGATGTTTATCAGATATCTGCTAATCTTAATAGATGCGCTGTAGATCTTACTGGTTTCTAACCTATCATGTACTAAGCTATACCCTTTTACAATAGGTATTGTTTTGTAGTCCTTCCACTGCGACTTTATTCCTTCAAAAGGATTCATGAACTAAACCAAGGGTGTCAAACTCAATTTCACTGAGGGCCGCATCATCATTGCGGTTGCCCTTTGGGGGCCGGGTGTGTCCAGAGTGGGTGCAGCCTACTGGGTGGGCATAGCCTACTGGGTGGGCGTGGCCAGTTCTACATCATTCGCGTCAAGGGTGCCTGTGGGGGCCTGGGCAGGAGTGGGACAGATCTGAGGATCTCTGGCAGAAGGGGGTGGGACTGGGGCAAGTGCCAAGTCATGATCCACCAGGGCAAGTGCCAAGATGGCCACCACAAAATTGTACATTGGCTCCTGGCCAGCCTGGGCCAGGGCCAAGGCAGTGGGAGCCATTCCCTCAGTTTCCAGGATGGCTTTGCGGGCCATATGAAACCACTTCGCGGGCTGCATCCGGCCCCCGGTCTTGTGTTTGAGATGTCTGATCTAAACAGTATATTCTCTGGCGCAGGAGGAAGAAAGCAAAAGCAGCAGTTTCTTATTGTTGCACTTTAGTCATTGACCCCAATACTCCTGTTACATGATTCCAGAGGACTGGATACTATTTAGAGCATTGGGACAGTGATGTTGGGGACTGCAAGTTAAAGAAAGAACTGGTGAATGTCATTGTTGGAAAACTTCTGGATTTGGATTCTTTCGAATGAATGAAGAAAATGAATTTAAAAAAGAATAAAAAAACAATGGAAAAATGGGAAAAAATGAAATGGAAAATGGGGAAAAAAATAAGACTGGATTATCCAGTGCAGAAAATTGATCAGGAGCAAGCTCTGCTAAATTAAATGCACAGAATAATTTTGGGGTATGGAAGATCTTCTTATGGCTTATTTTTAACAATTTACTTGAGCAGTTTCCATCTTGTCATTGTATCACAAGTTGTTCTGCTACAGTAGGACCTTCAATTTATACTGTGATCAGAAGGAAATTAAAAATTGTGGTTTTGATAGAGCATATAGTTACCTTCTACAAGAAGTATGTAGTGGGGTGTCCCAGGGCTCTGTTCTGGGCCCAGTGCTCTTCAACATCTTCATCAACGATTTGGACGAGGGGATAGATGGGGAACTCATCAAATTTGCAGATGACACCAAGTTGGCAGGAATAGCCAACACTCCAGAAGACAGGCTTAAGATACAGAAGGATCTGGACAGACTTGAACACTGGGCACTATCTAACAAAATGAAATTCAATGGTGAAAAAAGCAAGGTTCTACATTTAGGCAGGAAAAACCAAATGCACAGGTATAGTATAGGGGTACCTTGCTCAATAGTAGTAACTGTGAGAGGGACCTCGGAGTCCTAGTGGACAATAACCTAAATATGAGCCAGCAGTGTGCTGCAGCTGCCAAAAAGGTCAACACAGTGCTAGGCTGCATTAACAGAGGAATAGAATCAAGATCACGTGAAGTGTTAATACCACTTTACAATGCCTTGGTAAGGCCACACTTGGAATACTGCATCCAGTTTTGGTCACCATGATGTAAAAAAGATGTTGAGACTCTAGAAAGAGTACAGAGAAGAGCAACAAAGATGATTAGGAGACTGGAGGCTAAAACATACAAGGAACGGTTGCTGGAATTGGGTATGTCTAGTTTAATGAGGAGAAGGACAAGGGGGGACATGATTGCAGTGTTCCAATATCTCAGGGGTTGCCACAAAGAAGAGGGAGTCAAGCTATTTTCCAAAGCACCTGAAGGCAGGACAAGAAACAACGGGTGGAAATTAATCAAGGAGAGAAGCAACCTAGAACTAAGGAGAAACTTCACGACAGTTAGAACAATTAACCAGTGGAACAACCTGCCTCCAGAAGCGGTGAATGCTCCAACACTGAAAGTTTTTAAGAAGAGACTGGACAGCCATTTGTCCGAAATGGTATATATCCAAGGTCCCTTCCAACTTTACTACTATTGTTGTTGTTGTTGTTGTTGTTGTTATTAATAATAATATATTGATTGGGACAACTAAGATACTATTTAGAACAGTGGGACATTGTTGACAATTTAAAGCTTTGACTTAAAGTTGCAATTATCATCCAATTACAATTCAGAAAATTGAGCTAGCTGTTTGGTTAGTATAGTTGATGTTTTATAAATTGTTTATCTTTTTCAGGGCCAAGCTGTTCCTCACCTTCAGTGCTTGCATACTATAAAAGGAAATTAGCATCACTTCTAAAAACAGGCCAATTGTCTAGATTCAGAAATTATGTTTTTGGCCTGTGACATACTGCAGTTGAGATCCCTCCACAAGATTAGGTTCTTATGAGTTATCTAGAAAAGTGTTTGAAAAAATAGGTTTCATTTTGGAAGCACCTATGCCTTCAATTTAAAACCAAGCGATCCCTTATCAAGAGTCATGGATTGTCTGAAGAGCATCAGAAGTGATTTCTGGAGCTTGCAACCACAGAGCTCATACTTGGCACAAGGCTGCCTTTCCCTTGGCCATTGAAACTGTATTCTTTTGCTTGTTCTCACCAGGCCCAAACTCATCCAAGAGCCCAATTCTTTCAGAATCCCCCATCAGCTCCTTTTTGCCTGGGGAACAGAGGCCAGCCTTGTCAGGGGGCTGCTAATGAAGTGGAGGGTTCACTGGCAGAGTGTGAGAAAATTCCCAGCAGCTATTCAAGACCATGGACCAGGTGCACCCACTTCCCCAGCACCAAGGAGCTGCTACCGCCCTCATTTTGAGCTGCCAAAAAATTGTTTACTCTTTGGTAGCAAAACAACATTGTTTACTTTATGGGGGAAAACAGCGAGAGCACAAAGTGTTTCAAGCACACCAAGGGCTTCACAAACCTTCTAGTGTCCTTTAACACTGAAAGCATTAAGGCAAAAAAGAATGCCTGCCTGCAAATGTGTGTACACACAGAGACGGAACGAAGGCCTGATACAAAACAAGGTTCCTCTCTTTGGCACCAGTGTTCTGGGACATAGTAAATGTAAGAAAGGGAAACGGGCTTAAATGGAGAGCGGCATTTCTTTATTTATCGCTCGGGTCTACAATAGCTACCTTTGTAGAACAGCTCTGCTGCCCCATCAAGACATGCCTGCTTTCTGATCAAGAAAAGCCCATCTGTATCCAGTATATTAGAGAGACATTGTGTTGAAAGATACAGGTTTCGTTCTTTTGTGACTATTCCTCATGTATTGATGCCAAAGTTATTGTCAGTTTAGGTGGTCTGTTGAATAAATAAAAGTCAACTATTGGAATGATGAGCATACTTACAAATACAGTCGTGATACAGAAAAGACAAAAAAGAACCAGGGATAAAATTAGAGCATACACAATTAGATAAAATCCTTCTAGGAACAGAAGATCAAATGATAAAAAGATATATCAATATTTATTAGAACAAGATTTGTTAGAAGAACAGGTAAAAGAAACAATGTTAATCTGGAGTAAAAATTTTGGTTACAGTATTGACCTAGATAATTGGCAATCATTATGGGACAGAAACAAGAGATTAACACTAGCCATCTCCTACAAAGAAAATTTATACAAGATGTTTTATAGACGGCACCTTCCCTCTACAAGGCTAGCAAAAATAGATAAAAAAACTTCACCAACATGCTGGAAATGTAGAAGGCTTCCAGGGACTTACTATCACATGTGGTGGGAATGTTCAAAGGCACAAAATTTTTGGAATCGGATAAAAAAAATTGGCTGGAAGAAATACTATTACAAAAAATTGATTTAAAACCAGAAATCTTCTTATTAGGGATTATTAATGATAAACTCAGCAAAGCATTTTTTACTTACTATTGCATATTTTAACTGCAGCAAGATTGGCATACGCCCAAAAATGGAAAGGAAAGGAAACCCCCACTGAGGAAGAAATAATAAATAAAATTTTATCCTGCGCCAAAATGGGCAGGTTAACTCTAGAGGTTAAAAATAAAACTGAAACAGAGTATTATGAAATTTGGAAAAATTTGTATGATTGGTTAGAGTTAAGGAGGATCACTGAGATGATTATCGATTGACTAGTTGATATCATAAGGACTTATTAGTACCTATATTAGGACACAACTGAAAGATATGTAAATACAACGTTGACAATTGAAAGATGGTTTATCAAAAATTTTACAGATGTTATATGCACAGTTTGTTATACTCTGTCCTGTTATAGAATGTATTTTAAGTTTCTGTTTTTCTTTCTGTAACATAAGGTAATGCTAATAGCACTGTTGAAGCCAGGGAAGTTGAATCATGGCCATTTTTGTTTTTAAAACGTACATTTAATAAAAAATTTAAAAAAGTCAACTATGAGCTGCCTGAGGGAAGGTTTAACATGTGCCTTGGGTTTTAAAGAGTCATGCCTCCTAGGGACTCTTCCCTTCATGGCTGCTCCGTATTTCTAGTTCGGCTTCCTTTTAACCTTACAGACTGGCTTCTTTGCCGGAGTGTATGGTCCAAATTGCAGCTAAAAGGAGGCCACCCTAACCTGTCTACATTTCTCACCTGCTCACAACTGCTGAAGAATCAATTCAATATTTATGTATAGTCTCATCTGAGAAAATTGGAGATGTGGTCATTTTTTTTTTTCAAGGCTCCAGAAGCATGAAGATTTATCAACTAAATCTGCCTACAAGGAAATGGAAGACTTAAGACAGGCTTCTGCACTGCTGCTTCTCGTTTGATTATAGATCCCAAGTAGGCTACCCATAAGTCACATGAACTCCATCCTGACATTTATGGACAGATTGCCTCTTGAGTTGCCACTAACACTGAGTAGCAGCACAGGCTGGGATCCTATGTCCTCTGCTTTTGCTTTTTCTATGGTATCCACCACTGATTTTCAATAGTAGATTGAATTAAATTTAGAATTTTGCAAACCAGAGGGTGAATAGATGAGGCAGAGGAAATCAACTCTATGAAAAAAAAATGTGGGTACATAAAAATGTGATTTTTATCCCAATTACATCCGCAGTTACTTTGGCCACATTAATTTTTCCACAACACATTCTGTGAACTGCAGAAAAAAATTATGCACCAGTAAGTTAGAAATGTGTTATTGGGGGGGGGGCAAAGGGCTACAAATGAAGCTTTTATGTACACCTTTTTAAACTTAAGCTTCAGGAGAAAAAAAATCCAGAATTAGTCTTAGACTGCACTTGCCTTTTTTCCAAGATACACAAATTGGTGATATACTGGTCGCATGTGTATGCCTGCATTTTAAATTTGTATAAATAATTCAGAGCATTGTTAAGAAAAAAAAAGACACTGATGTGGTTAAATCTGCTTGTGCTCTTCTCTTGGTTTATTTGGACGCATCAAGCTGGACAATGCCAAAGCCAGGATATCGGGATTATTTATATAGCTTAGCCCCTTATACTTTCTTCTTCTGATGATGAAATGAGACACATCCCTTTAGATTTGCCACATTGGGTGATTGATGGACCCAATGGGGCTCCAAAAAGACTTTGGGTTTTTCCCTGAGAATCTGTTGGGCATTTCAGACAAGCCTTTGATTGCAGCCTGGAATAGGTGGATGACTGAGACCTTGAACCACATTGCTCCTGTGCTCCTCTATTTCTCTATGTGTCAGTCCAAAGGTGTACCTTGATTTCCTGAGGGAGTACCAGAAGCAATTCCCCCTAGTGCAGTGTTTCTCAACCTTGACAATTTTAAGGCATGTGGACTTCAACTCCCAGAATTCCACAGCCAGCATTGCTGGCTGTGGAATTCTGGGAGTTGAAGTCCACATGCCTTAAAATTGTCAAGGTTGAGAAACACTGCCCTAGTGACTTTGGAAAAAGACAAAGTAAATCCAACTAAACATGAGAGCCCACATTCAGGCCGACATTGTGACAACATACTGTTATTTCTCTGGTCTTTCTGCATTTGCTGATAAGTGCTCAGTGGTCCTGCTTAGACCGACCTGTACCCTGTTTGGGAGGCCAGGCAAAATTTCTCAATATCTTATCAGTTAAGATATTGAACTTCTTGGCAAGAAACACAAGGGAAGGCAAAATCATTTGGATCTGCCCGAATAATTTGTTTCACCTTCTCCAATTTGATGCCCTTCAGAACCATTGCAATGTCTCTCATAAATTAAGGAAGCTTGGGGAAAGCTTAATTAAAATTAGTTTTCTTGTGGCCTTTCATAACCGGCTAGTTTCGGCTGCCCTCTGTCTTTAAGTATAACAAAGCTTGTTGAACCAAAGCATACCATCAGGAGTGTGAGACGGAAAACAGCAAATACCATTAAGCGAATAAATATGGTGCATATATGGTGCAATATATTCAGAATAGCTGATCAAATGATAAAAATGAACACGCTTATAATAGTTTATCCTATACAATAGCTACTATGACTTTGATTCTGATGGCCCTCTGAGCTAACAGAGTGTATATAGGTAGATGCAGTATTAATTCTATTTTTATTATACAACTGAATAAATGCAATTTAATATATGAATTAAATTTTATAGATTCAAAAGTGCATGTTTTATTTATGTTGATAGGTTATATGTTTTATACTATAAGTGCATTTCCATATACAGTATATTTACTCAAAAGTAACTTCCACTGAATTCAGGGACTCTTTCTTCTAAGTAAATTGGTATAAGATTACCGTCTCAATGCAACACATAGTTTAATTCAGTATTGCAAAGAGAGCATTCCTATAGTAAAAAAAAAAATCTACAGGACAGCTGTGTTATTTTGTGCATTGCATACATTTGCACTGTAAAATTGGGGATTCCGAACCACCTACTTTTTTATATTTGCTGATAAAATGTCTTAAAAAGTTGATCTTATTTGCAGTATGTAATTTCATATCATTTCATATCATGCAATTTATAAAAATATTATTTAAATTATTCTTACAAACTTTAAGATAAGATAACCTTTATTGTTATTTTTTTACTGTGGACACAACAGCACACATCAGAAATGAAATTTAGTTACCCACTCTCAAAGTGAAACACATACATGACACACACCTAAACATACTATGTACAACATATGTATAGACCCACACCCCTTAACCTAGGAACTAATTTCACTTGGGAACTAAATCTATATAAATTTGCATAGAACTATCAGACTAATATGGAAGAGACATAACATTAAATTCAGCTTATATAGATACAGCAGAAACCTATGAGAAAGGAAACAAGAAATGCCGCTCTTCTAAAATGATGTATTCTTCCTTCTCTAGTTAATTTTATACATTCATAATTATTCACGTAACTCAAAATAACAATGTTTTAAATAATCAAATGGATTGCATTCAAAACTGCAGTCTTAATCTTATATTCCAAGTATTAATTGCATTACCATGTTAAAATAAATTTCAAGAAACTAAAGCACATTGTTTTTTTGTAGACTGAACCCAAAAGAAATATGGAATCCAGATTCTCATTATTACTTTACTTTGTTGTAACTTCTCAAAGCACCTGGGAAATCTTGAAGCCATTTGATAATTGGGGTAGCAGAACTATCAAAATAATTTTATTTCAATTTACTCTTTACTATTACTGAGATTATTTCTTCTAAGGTGGTGTTCCCAATGTATTAGAACAATTTTATCTGTTTATGCATATGCAGATTAAAACCATTCACTTTCTATTATCATTTTTATTTTTTACTTTTTAAAAATAGAAGCTTTTTTAAAGAAAGGATGATGAACACCAACTTTTTTTTAAATCTAACAAGCTGGAAAGAAAACATTAGAATAAACATTAAAAGAGAAGCTTTGGGTTTCGACCTGGAATACAAACTCCTGAAACAGATTGATGTCAGTAAAGATGTTCTCAAATTTAAAAAAAAAAAATCTGTGGAAGAAAATAAATTATATTAGTTTAGTCATCCAATAAATGTTGCATTTCAGGAAAAATGCTGTGGTTCCCAAATAACTGCAGTTTAAAACAAGATACTATGGTGAAAGAAAAAAGATGCAATATTGATAAGAAATCCAAAACCCATATTGCACTATTTCAACGACAAAGATTATTCTGGATAGCAACCTTACTACACGTCACCTCTTGCTTGAACCTGGGAATCAAACATTGTGATATACAGTAAAGGTCATCCATTCAATATCAAAATTATGATGGGCATATCTAAAATTACGGACATAGCTGAAGTAGGATTGTAGAGATTTTAGCCAAAAATATTGCATTTTCAAACTTGCCCATCATGACAACAATGTGTTTTTAGGCTCGTTGTGTG